GGGCACAAGGTCGTACTTCTTACCCTTCTTGACGGTATATACGTGTGTTTGACAATCATAAGCAACATCGTGCTCTTTGTACCATGGCTTGCCCAACAATAAGTGACATAAAACCATCAGTACCGGAATTACGTCACACAAAACCGTGCAAAGAAAATTTCCCAACAAAAACGGTACCTTTGTTTGGTGTGTGACACTGAGCTCTTCATGACCCCAACGAAACAAGTATGGTTGTGCTCGTGGTGTCATTGGTAGATCTAGCTTCTCCACCATCTCGATGCTTGCAGCATTGATCAAACTCATGTGGTCGATTGTCATGGCGCATGATCTCTCTTGTACCACAACACGAGTATGAAAAAGTCCATCCCATCGACCTTCCTCTTCCAATTGAAATCCATAGCTTAGCTTCCATGATAATCCAGTCATCTCTTGCACAGTGTCGTGAACAACCTTGCTCTGATACCACCTGATGTAGACCGGACCTCGTGGAGAGATCCGATCTGTTGTTGCGGCCCGACCTTTCACGACACTCCACCTTCAGCAGTAGTAACCTCTCGCCCGCGCACGCGATGTACGCGAAATAGAGGGATTGAACCTTACGGTCCAGCACGAGAAAACCAATCTCGACGACGGCACTCACGCGCAAAACAATTTTCACGAAGAGAAATCGCAACAAAGAGGTTTTCTAAAGCTTCCCCCAAAACTCGATACGGGTGTCTACCCTAAAAACACATCGTGTTTATTATCGAAATATAACCTCACCTTTACAAAGGACTAGATAGGCTTTATATAATAGCCGCACCCTGACTTGGTCCAAAGACCTCACGGACGCACACCATAAGTAGCTTGGAAAGCAAGCATTTGCTACATATTTAAAAGAAAAGATAACTCCTACGTATATGCTAAACCGACTTGATCTATCTAAGAAAACAAAAACTGCTAGTTCTGATGTGGCTTTTTCCCTGTCTGTGGTGGACCCCAGCCGACGTCCTTTAAGCTGAATAATTCCCAAATAAAAAGAATCCTCATGTTTATCTTTTCCTTGCGGGATAGAAAAATAAACGTAAATAATCTTCTTGTTTTAATTCTGGCGTAGTAGATAATTCTGCCAAGGAAACATTCACGATGGCTCGTGGACTCCTTCATGCCATCTTCTAATCGTGGCTTACCAAAATAATTAGGATGCTCTTTTCCTTGGTTTCCTCCACATGCACGTCTGATACGGTGGCATTTAATCTCAAACTGAACGCCCTTCTTTTCCTCATCTATGCACGTGGTCTCCAACACATCAGTTTGCATGACCATACCATTTACTAGTGCATGTTCATCTTCGTGACTTGGCCGTATGTAATCAGGTGTACATGCAGTGTATTTTTGAACATTACCGGCTTCAGGCGAAACATCAAAGACCTCAGAATTTATATTACACTGGGTCGCATCA